CCGTACCCCCTTCCGGTTCTCGGTGGGGGTGGGAGCGGGGGTGCGGCGTTCTCGAAACGCCGTACCCCTGCTCCTTTCGCCTCCCGGCAACCAATGGGGGTGCGGCGTTTTGAAAACCCCGTACCCCCTCGGCCCTGTACGTGAACAGGGTCGAGGGGGTACAACATTTCGAAAATGCCGTACCCCCTCCGGTTCTCGGTGGGGGTGGGAGCGGGGGTCCGGCGTTCTCGAAACGCCGTACCCCCACTCCCGCCCCCACCCGGCAACCGAAGGGGGAACCGCGTTTTCAAAATGTCGTACCCCATCACCCCTGTATGTGAGCAGGGTCGAGGGGATGCGGCGTTTCGAAAACGCCGTAACCCCTCCGCTTCTCTGTGGGGGGTGGGAGCGGGGGTAAGACATTCTCGGAACGCCGTGCCCCCTCCGCCCTGTATGTGAACAGGGTCCAGGGGGTTCCGCGTTTCGGAAACGCCGTACCCCCTCCGGTTCTCGGTGGGGGTGGGGGCGGGGGTACGGCGGTCTCGAAACGTCGTGCCCCCTCCAGTTCTCGCAGAGGATAGGGAGGTGGGCCGCATGGTGTTCCCAGAACACCGTAGCCCGGCCCCGTAGGTGGACAGGGCCGTTGGGTGCGGCGCTTCGAGATCGCTGTATCACCGCTCCCTCTCGTCTCCGATGACCAGACGGGTTGTGGCGTTTTCGAAACGCCGTGCCCCCTTGGCCTTGCTTCGCGGAACCGAACGGGGTAGGGCGTTTTCAGAACGCCCTATACCATGCGACGCTCGAATGCGTCGGCGACTCACGTGAGGCGATGGTGGAAGGTTTGAAATCTGAACGTGATCCGTTCCTTCGTTTGGAATGTGCCTGCCATCAGGAGGAGCATCTGCTGTCCCAGAAAAGAGGGTCTACAACACGTGCACAATCTATAGAGACAGGGAGTGGGCCCTTGATTGGGGGGGGGGGCTACACGAGGCGGGATGTGGGGCCGCTGTGTTTCCGAAGAACGCCTCAGGTGACGACTGGTTCTGTGTTGGAGGGATTATTAAATCCGAGGATGAGAGGGTGGACGGGCACGGACGGAAGTTCAGGAGGTTTTTCCTCACAACGGTGTTCGACGAACAAGGAGTGGACCATGCGAAGGCCGACCGTAAAGTAAGCCTTGATTACAATTTGTTCAAGGGGTATGGCGGTAAGGCTATTACCATGAAAGCCTTCGATGTGTCCCCGAAGGAAGACGGGAGTGTGTTGACGATGCTTGGCCCCGTTAAATTCCTCGCCAAAACGAACGGCTACAGGAGATCCGGAAACAGTCCCACGGTTGAGGCCGGCCATCGTATGTCCCCGACATTCGTGCCTTTTGACACGTCGGACGAGGATCTTCCTCGTATAGCAATGATAGAGAGACAAAGGACGCCACATAGTTTTCCAACGCAGCAGACGTCAGCGAGTGGGGGCCAGCGCCGCAACAAACAGAGCCACCCGCGTCGTCCACCAGGCGAGGATGAGCATGGTCCTCCTGTGGGTTCGTCCCGCCGGATGGAGTGTGTTGGACCGTCTCAACCGTCCAGCCGGCAAGACCAAGGCACCCCTGTCATCACATACAAAAGGAAGGCCCTGCCAACTCGTCCCTCTCCCAGTTGCCAGAAGGACGAAGGTGGTGCGTCCAGGAAGGCGGCGCTGCGGGAGATAAGCGAAGGATCG